GGAGTTGGGATTACGTTAGGTTGGGTTGGGATTGCGTGAGGTGGGTTGGGATTGGGTTGGGTTGGGGATTACGTTAGAGTAGGTTGGGATTGGGTTGGGTTGGGATTAGGTTAGGTTGGGTTGGTTGGGTTGGGTTAGGTTGGGTTGGGTTAGGTTGGGATTGGGTTGGGTTAGGTTGGGTTAGGATTACGTTGGGTTAGGTTGGGTTGGGATTACGTTGGGTTGGGTTAGGTTGGGTTAGGTTGGGTTGGGTTGGGTTGGGATTACGTTGGGTTGGTTGGGTTAGGTTGCGTTGGGTTGGGTTGGGTTGGGTTACGTTAGGTTAGGGTTGGGTTGGGATTAGGTTGGGTTAGGTTGGGTTGGGATTACGTTGGGTTGGGTTGGGTTAGGATTACGTTAGGTTGGGTTGGGTTGGGATTACGTTGGGTTAGGTTGGGTTGGGTTAGGATTACGTTGGGTTGGGTTGGGTTGGGATTACGTTGGGTTGGGTTGTGGGTTAGGTTGGTTACGTTAGGTTGGGTTGGGTTGGGATTACGTTGGGTTAGGTTAGGTTGGGTTAGGTTAGGTTGGGTTGGGTTGGGTTAGGTTAGGTTGGATTCATTTTCCTCCCGGTTAAAATATTTTCAGTCGTCACCTGAAGTTAATTTGGTTAATGACCTGTAACGAGGTAATTAAGCTTCATGTAAGAGGTTGTAATTACTGTTTATTATTATATTTGGTGAGTGCCAGTAAGTGCCATAAATTGTACAGTAAATTATATGAAAATTGTGCCTAAAATTGTTGATCAAATAGTGACATCATTTGTATCTGTTCTAATAGGCCCCAGTTCTAATGAACCCCAGTTCTAATAGAGTTCTAATGGTCCCAGTTCATGGGGCCCCAGTTCTAGTAGACCCCCAGTTCTAATGGGCCCCAGTTCTAATGGGTCCCAGTTCTTAATAGGCCCCAGTTCTAGTAGACCCCAGTTCTATAGGCCCCAGTTCTGTGGGTCCAGTTCTATAGGCTCATTCTGTAGACCCCAGTTCTGGAGTTCTAATAGGTCCCAGTTCTAATAGGCCCCAGTTCTAATAATTCAGGGATTCTAATAGGCCCCCGTTCTAATAGGCCCCAGTTCTAATAGGTTTAGTTCTAATAGGCCCCGTTCTATTAAGCCCCAGTTCTAATGGCCCCAGTTCTAATGGGCCCCAGTTCTATAGGCCCCAGTTCTAATAGGCCCCATTCTAGCCAGGCCCCAGTTCTAATAGGCTGAGTTCTAATAGGCCCCAGTTCTGTAGGCCCCAGTTCTAATAGAGCCCAGTTCTAATAGGCCCCAGTTCTGTGGGCCCCAGTTCTATGGGCCCCAGTTCTGCAGGCCCCAGTTCTGATGGGCCCCAGTTCTAATAGGTTCTTGATTCTAATAGACCCCAGTTCTAATAGGCCCCAGTTCTAATAGGCTGATTCTAGTAGGCCCCAGTTCTAATAGACCCCGTTCTAATGGGCCCCAGTTCTGTATTGTTCTAATAGGCCCCAGTTCTAATAGGCCCCAGTTCTGTGGGCCCCAGTTCCTAATAGGCCCCGGTTTCATGGCCCCAGTTCTAATAGGCCCCAGTTCTAATAGACCCCCAGTTCTAATAGGCCCCAGTTCTAATGGACCCAGTTCTAATAGGCCCCAGTTCTAATAGGCCCCAGTTCCTGTGGGCCCAGTTCTAATATTTGAGTCCTAATAGGCCCCAGTTCTAATAGGCCCCAGTTCTAATAGGCCCCCAGTTCTAATAGACCCCAGTTCTAATAGGCCCCAGTTCTAATAGGCCCCAGTTCTAGTAGGCCCCAGTTCTAATAGACCCCAGTTCTAATGTTCATGGGCCCCAGTTCCTATGGAGCCCCAGTTCTAATAGGCCCCAGTTCTAATAGGCCCCAGTTCTAATAGGCCAGTTCTAATAGGCCCCAGTTCTGTGGGCCCCAGTTCTAGTAGGCCCCAGTTCTAATAGGCCCAGTTCTAATGGCCCCAGTTCTAATAGACCCCAGTTCTAATAGGCCCCAGTTCTAATAGACCCCAGTTCTAATAGGCCCCAGTTCTGGTAGGCCCCAGTTCTAGTAGACTGTTCTAATAGGCATTCTGTGGTCCCAGTTCTAATAGGCCCCAGTTCTAATAGGCCCCAGTTCTAATAGGCCCCAGTTCTAATAGGCCCCATTCTAATAGGCCCCAGTTCTAATAGGCCCCAAGTTCTAATAGGCCCCAGTTCTGTAGGCCCCAGTTCTAATAGGCCCCAGTTCTAATAGGCCCCAGTTCTAATAGGTTCCCAGTTCTAATAGGCCCCAGTTCTAATCCCAGTTCTAATAGGCCCCAGTTCTAATAGGCCCCAGTTCTATGGGCCCCAGTTCTAATAGGCCCCAGTTCTAATAGGCCCCAGTCTAATAGGCCCCCAGTTCTAATAGGCCCCAGTTCTAATAGGCCCCCGGTTCTGTGGCTAATGAGCCCCCAGTTCTAATAGGCCCCAGTTCTAATAGGCCCCAGTTCTATGGGTCCCAGTTCTATGGGCCCAGTTCTAATAGGCCCCAGTTCTAATAGGCCCCAGTTCTAATAGGCCCCAGTTCTAATAGACCCCCGGTTCTAATGGTCCCAGTTCTAATAGGCCCCAGTTCTAATAGGCCCCAGTTCTAATAGGCCCCAGTTCTAATAGGCCCCAGTTCTATGGGCCCCAGTTCTAATAGGCCCCAGTTCTAATGGGCCCCAGTTCAATAGACCCCAGTTCTGTGGGCCCCAGTTCTATGTGGGCCCCAGTTCTAATAGGTCCCAGTTCTAATAGGCCCGGTTCTAATAGGCCCCAGTTCTAATAGGCCCCAGTTCTAATGGGTCCCAGTTCTAATAGGCCCCAGTTCTAAGTAGGCCCCAGTTCTAATAGGCCCCCAGTTCTAGTAGGTCCACTTCTTAGGCCCCAGTTTATTAGTTCTAATAGGCCCCAGTTCTAATAGGCCCCAGTTCTAACCAGTTCTGGTGAGCCCAGTTCTAAGAGCCCCAGTTCTAATAGGCCCCAGTTCTGAATTCCCAGTTCTAATAGGCCCCAGTTCTAATAGGCCCCAGTTCTAGTAGGCCCCAGTTCTAATAGGCCCCAGTTCTAATAGGCCCCAGTTCTAAGTTCTAATAGGCCCCAGTTCTAGTGGGCCCCAGTTCTAATAGACCCCAGTTCTAGATTTGTCAATAGGCTGATTCTAATAATTTGATTCTAATAGACCCCAGTTCTAATAGGCCCCAATTCTATAGGCCCCAGTTCTATGGGCCCCAGTTCTAATAGGCCCCAGTTCATGAGCCCCAGTTCTAATGGGCCCCAGTTCTAGGCCCCGTTCTAGTGGGCCCCAGTTCTAGTAGGCCCCAGTTCTAATAGACCCCAGTTCTAATAGAGCTGATTTCAATAGGTCCCAGTTCTAATAGGCCCCAGTTCTAATGGGCCCCAGTTCTAATAGGCCCCAGTTCTAATAGGCCCCAGTTCTAATAGGCCCCGGTTCTAATGGGCCCCAGTTCTAATAGACCCCAGTTCTAATGGGCCCCAGTTCTATAGGTCCAGTTCTGATTTGGTTCTAATAGGCCCCAGTTTTGGTTCTTAGGCCCCAGTTCTAATAGGCCCCAGTTCTAATAGGCCCCAGTTCTAATAGGCCCTAGTTCTAATGGGCCCCAGTTCTAATGGGCCCCAGTTCTAATGGTTCCAGTTCTAATAGTTAGTTTTAATGGGCAGTTCTAATAGGCCCAGTTCTAATGAGTCCAGGTTCTAATGAGCCCCCAGTTCTAATAGGCCCCAGTTCTAATAGGCCCCAGTTCTGGTAGGCCCCAGTTCTAATGACCCCAGTTCTAATGGCCCAGTTCTTGGAATTGATTCTATGGCGTTTGGTTCCTATGGGCCCCAGTTCTAATAGGCCCCAGTTCTAATAGGCCCCCGGTTCTAGTAGGCCCCAGTTCTAATGGACTGATTCTAGTGGGCCCCCAGTTCTAATGGGTCCCAGTTCTATGGGCCAGTTCTAATAGACCCCAGTTCTAATAGGCCCCAGTTCTAATGGGCCCCAGTTCTAATAGGCCCCAGTTCTGTGGGCCCCAGTTCTAATAGACCCCAGTTCTAATGGGCCCCAGTTCTAATAGGCCCCAGTTCTAATAGGCCCCAGTTCTAGTTCCCAGTTCTATGGGCCCAGTTTTAATAGGCCCCAGTTCTAATGGGCCCAGTTCTAATAGGCCCCAGTTCTAATAGGCCCAGTTCTATAGGGCCCCAGTTCTAATGGGCCCCAGTTCTAATGGGCCCCGATTCTGTAGGCCCCAGTTCTAATCCTAACCTCTTCTGACCTCACTTCACCCCTCTCTGTTCTCTCCCTCTCTATTCTCCTCTCCTCCCTCCCTCTCCCCCTCTCTCCCCTCTTCCTCTCCCTATCTCATCACCTTCCAATCCCCTTTACCTGACACTCCTCCCCTCTCCCTCTCCCCTCACCCGCTCTCCACCCTCACCCCTCTCCACCCTCACCCTCTCCTGGCTATTCTACTGAATTTGTATGGACACACACACACACACACACACACACACACACACACACACACACACACACACACACACTACCCTGATAAGCAGTGAGGCAATATTTACTTACACTAAACATTAACACCAGGTAGATAAGGTACATTCGCTAAATTATCACTCGTCAAGTATCCTCGCCAAATTATCACTCTGCAAATTATCACTCATAGTTATCACTCGCAAATCATCCTCGCCAGATCATCACTCGCCAAATTATCACTCGCCAAATTATCCTCGTTAAATCATCACTCCTGAATCATCACTCGCCAAATTATCACTCGCTAAATCATCACTCCTTAATCATCACTCGTAAATCATCACTCATAAATTAGCCTTTTATAACACCTTATGTAGTCCTATCCATCCTTAAAATCGCTAACTCCTAAACCAATCGGGACAATGTGTTATTGTGTTGTTACTGTCATGGGATCGTGGGGAGTCCTTCGGAGGTTCTGGGAGATCCTTCACCATTTTCGGGTACTGGGGGTCCAGGGTGAGTCCTGGGAGGTCCTGAGGGGGTCCTGAGGGCTCCTGGGGCTCCTGAGAGATCCTTCACCATTTTCCGGGTACTGGAGGTCCTGGGGTGGTCCTGGGAGGTCCTGAGATAGTCCTGGGAGGTCTGAGGTCCTGAGGGGCTCTGAGGGGGTCCTGAGGGCTCCTGGAGATCCTTCACCATTTTCAGGGTGACTGGGAGGTCCTGAGGTGGTCAGGAGGTCCTGGGAGTGTCCTGGGAGGTCTGGGGGTCCTGGGGGGCTCCTGAGGGGTCTTGAGGGCTCTGGGGGTCCTGAGGGGCTCCTGGGGGGTCCTGAGGGGCTCCTGAGATCCTTCACCATTTTCAGGGGTACTGAGGAGGTCCTGGGGGTAGTCCTGGGAGGTCCTGGGGAGTGGTCTGGGGGTCTGAGGAGGGCTCTTAAGGGGCTCCTGAGGGCTCTGAGGGGCTCCTGAGGGGCTCTAGAAGATCTCGCCTCGAAGGATTCCTTCAGAGGGCGTTTGATTATCATGGAATCTCTCCTGGACATTTAGGCTGAAGGATATGGAATTGGGTTGGAGTTGGGTTGGGATATGGGTCGGGTTAAGTTGAGGTTAGGGTTGGGTTGGGTTGGGGTTTGGTGTTGGGTTGGGTTTGGTTAGTTTAGGTTGGGTTGGGTTAGGTTGGGTTGGGTTGGGATGGGGTTGGGTTAGGTTGGGTTTGGTTAGGTTAAGGTTAGGTTGGGTTAGGTTAGGTTGGGGTTTGGTTGGGTTGGGTTTGAGAAGTGGAAAAAAGCCGATCTTGTGGAAATGTCTGTCTGTCTGTAAATTGGACCTGCTGTTTATCTCTCTCTCTCTCTCTCTCTCTCTCTCTCTCTCTCTCTCTCTCTCTCTCTCTCTCTCTCTCGGCAGCAGTTGTACCATTAATTATATGAATATATTACATCGTGAGCTGAGCAATTACCTGTGATGTTAGATGGTGGTGGTGGTGGGGATGGTGGTGGGGTGGTGGTGGGGTAGGTGGTGGGATGGTGGTGGGGTGAAGTGGTGGGGTGGTGGTGGTGGTGGTGGGATGGTGGTGGTGTTGGTGTTGGGATGGTGGTGGGTGGTGGTGGGGTTGGTGGTGGGGTGGGTGGTGGTGGTGGGGTTGGTGGTTGGTGGTGGTTGGGGTTGGTGGTTGGGGTGGTGGTGGGGTTGGTGGTTGGGGTGGTGGTGGTGGTGGTGGTGGTGGGGTGGTGGTGGTGGGGTTGGTGGGGTTGGTGGGGTTGGTGGGGTTGGGGTGGGGTGGTGGGGTGGTGGTGGGTGGTGGTGTGTGGTGGTGGGGTGGGGTTGGTGGTGGGGTTGGTGGTGGTGGTGGGTGGTGGGGTGGTGGTGAGGTGGTGGTGGTGGGGTTGGTGGTGGGGTTGGTGGTGGGGTGGTGGTTGGGGTGGTGGGTTGGTGGTGGTGGTGGGGTGGTGGTTGGTGGTGGTGGGGTTGGTGGTGGGGTTGGTGTGGTGGTGGTGGGGTTGGGTGGGGTTGGTGGTGGGGTGGTGGTGGGGTTGGTGGTGGGGTGGTTGGGTGGTGTTGGTGGTGGTGGTGGTGGTGGGGTGGGGTTGGTGGTGGGGTGGTGGTGGTGGTGGGGTGGGATGGTGGTTGGTGGGGTGGTGGTGGGGTGTGGTTGGTTGGTGGTGGTGGTGGGGTGGGTGGTGGTGGGGTGGTGGTGTGGTGGTGGTGGTGAGTGGTGGTGGTTGGGTGGTGAGTGGTGGTGGTGGTGGTGGTAGTGGTGGTGGTGGTGGTGAGATGGTGGTGGGGTAGTGGTGGGATGGTGGTTGATGGTGGTTGGTGGTGTGGTGGGGTGGTGGTGGGGTGTGGTGGGGTGGTGTTGGTGGTTGGGTGGTGGTGGTGGTGGGGTGGTGGTGGGGGTGGGGTGGTGTTGGTGGTGGGGTGGTGGTTGGTGGTGGGGGTGGTGGTGAGATGGTGTGGGGTGGTGGTGGGGTGTGGGGTGGTGGGTGTTGGTGGTGGGGTTGGGGTGGTGGTGGTGGGGTGGTGTGGTGGTGGTGGTAGGGGTTGGTGGTGGTTGGTGGTGGTGGTGGGATGGTGGTGGGTGGTGGGGTGGTGGTGGTGGTGGGTTGGTTGGATTGGTGGTGGGATTGGTGTTGGTGGTTGGTGGTGGTGGGGTGGGGTGGTTGGGGATGGTGTTGGGTGGTGTGGTTGGGGTTGGTTGGTGGTGGTGGTGGTGGTGGGGTTGGTTGGTTGGTTGGGGTTGGTGTTGGTGGGTTGGTTGGGGTGGTGGTGGTGGTGGGGTGGTGGGGTTGGTGGGGTGGTGGGTGGTTGGTGGTGGGTGGGGTGGTGGGTTGGTGTGGTGGGTTGGTGGTGGTGGTGGTGGTGTTGGGGTGGTGGTGGGGTGGTGGTGGTGGGGTGGTGGTGGGGTGGTGGTGGTGGTGGTGGTGGTGGTGGTGGTGGTGGTGGGGTGGTGGTGGGGTGGTGGTGGTGGTGGGATGGTGGTGGTGGTGGTGGTGGGGTTGATTGTTGGGTTGGTGGTTGGGGTGGTGGTTGAGTGGTGTTGGTGTTGGGGTTGGTGGTGGTGTTGGGATGGTGGTGGGGATGGTGGGATTGGTGGTGGTGGTGGTGGGATGGTGTTGGGGTTGGTGGGTGGGGTTGGTGGTGGTGGTGGTGGTGTTGGTGGGGTTGGTGGGGATGGTGGGGTTGGTGGTATTGGTGGTGGTGGTGGTGGGGTGGTGGTGAGGGTGGTGGTGGTGGTAGGTTGGTGGTGGGGATGATTGGTGGGGTGGTGGTGGTGGTGGGTGGTGGTGGTGGTGAGTGGTGGTGTGGTGGGGTAATTGGTGGGGTGGTGGTGTGGTGAGATGGTGGTGGGGTGGTGGTGGGGTGTGGTGGTGGTGGGGTGGTGGTTGGTGTTGGTGGTGGGGTGGTGGTGGTGGTGGGGTGGTGGGAGTGTGGTGGGTGGGGTTGGTGGTGGGGTGGTGGGTGGTTGGGATTGGTGGTTGGGTTGGTGGTGGGGGTGGGGTGGTGGGGTGGTGGGGTTGGTTGGTGGGGATTGGTGGGTGGGGATGGGGTGGTGGGGTTGGTGGTTGGTGGGGTTGGGGTTGGTTGGTGGTGGGTGGTGGGGTGGTGGTGGGGTTGGGTTGGTGGTGGGGTTGGTGGTTGGTGGGTTGGTGGGGTTGGTGTGGTGGTGGTTGGGGTGGTTGGTTGGATGGTGGTGGGGTGGTTGTGGTGGTGGTGGTGTGGTGGTGGGATGGTGGTGGTGGTGGGATGGTGGTGGTGGTGGGGTGGTGGTGGTGGGATTGGTGGTGGGGTTGGTGGTGGGGTGGGGTGGTGGTGGGTGGGTTGGTGGTGGGGTTGGTGGTGGGGTGGGGTTGGTGGTGGGGTGGTGGTTGGTTGGGGTTGGTTGGTGGTGGTTGGGGTTGGGGTGGTGGTGGTTGGTGGTTGGGTTGGTGGGTTGGTTGGGGTGGTTGGGATTGGTGGTTGGTTGGGATTCAGTTGGTGGGGTGGTTGGTGGGGTGGGGATTGGTGGTGGTGGTGGTAGGAATGGGGGTGGGGGTGGGATGGGGGTGGGGCAAGATGTGGGGTGGTTCCTTGGGGTTGTGTGGTGCCAGGTAGTGCCACTAAGTCATTTAGTGCCAGTACCAGTAAGTCATTTAGTGGTACCAGTAAGTCATTTGTGCCGTGATGGGAAGTGTCATTTAGTGCCAAGAAGTACTTGATGAGTCGTTTAGTGTAATAGTAAGTATTGGTGCCAAGAAGTACCGGTAAGAGTCGTTTGGTGCAGTATGGTAATATTTGTTCCAGTGCCAGTAAAGTCATTTAGTGCCAGAAGTACCAGTAAGAGTCATTTAGTGCCAGTACCAGTAAGAGTCATTAGTGCAAGAAGTACCAGTAAGAGTCATTTAGTGCCAGTACCAGTAAGAGTCATTTAGTGCAAGAAGTACCAGTAAGTCATTTTAGTGCCAAGTACTTGATAAGAGTCATTAGTGCCAAGAAGTGCCAGTAAGTCATTTAGTGCCAGTACCAGTAGAGTCATTTAGTGCCAGTACCAGTAAGAGTCATTTAGTGCAAGAATTACTTGATAGAGTCATTTAGTGCCAGTACCAGTAAGAGTCATTTAGTGCCAGTACCAGTAAGAGTCATTTAATTGCAGTACCAGTAAGAGTCATTTAGTGCCAAGAAGTGCCAGTAAGTCATTTTAGTTGCCAGTACCAGTAAAGTCATTTAATTAGTACCAGTAAGAGTCATTTAGTGCCAGTACCAGTAAGTCATTTAGTGCCAGTATGCCAGTAAGTCATTTAATTCAGTACCGTAAGTCATTTAGTGCCAGTACCATAAGAGTCATTTAGTGCCAGTACCAGTAAGAGTCATTTAGTGCCAGTACCAGTAAGAGTCATTTAGTGCCAGTACCAGTAAGAGTCATTTAGTGCCAGTACCAGTAGAGTCATTTAGTGCCAAGAAGTGCCAGTAGAGTCATTTAGTGCCAGTACCAGTAAGAGTCATTTAGTGCCAGTACCAGTAGAATATTTAGTGCCAGTACCAGTAAGAGTCATTTAGTGCCAAGAAGTGCCAGTAAGTCATTTAGTGCCAGTACCAGTAAGAGTCATTTAGTGCCAGTACCAGTAAGAGTCATTTAGTGCCAGTACCAGTAAGAGTCATTTAGTGCCAAGAAGTGTGTAAGAAGTCATTAGTGCCAGTACCAGTAAGAGTCATTTAATTAGCAGTACCAGTAAGATCATTTAGTGCCAGTACCAGTAAGAGTCATTTAATGCCAGTACCAGTAAGAGTCATTTAGTGCCAAGAAGTGTCATAAGAGTCATTTGTGCCAGTACCAGTAAGAGTCATTTAATTGCAGTACCAGTAAGAGTCATTTAGTGCCAAGAGTGCCAGTAGAGTCATTTAGTGCCAGTACCAGTAAGAGTCATTTAAGTGCCAGTACCAGTAAAGTCATTTAGTGTAAGAAGTGCCAGTAAGTCATTTAGTGCCAGTACCAGTAAGAGTCATTTAAATCTTGAGTACCAGTAGGAGTCATTTAGTGCAAGAAGTACCAGTAAGTCATTTAGTGCCAGTACCAGTAAGAGTCATTTAGTGCCAGTACCAGTAAGAGTCATTTAGTGCAAGTACCAGTAAGAGTCATTTAGTGCCAAGAAATTGCCAGTAAGGAGTCATTTAGTGCCAGTACTTGAACAGTCATTTAGTGCAATGCAATGAGTCATTTAGTGCAGAAAGTACCAGTAAGAGTCATTTAGTGCCAGTCAGTAAGAGTCATTTAGTGCCAGAAGCCAGTAAGTCATTTAGTGCCAAGAATTGCCAGTAAGAGTCATTTAGTGCCAAGAAGTACCAGTAAGTCATTTAGTGCCAGTACCAGTAAGAGTCATTTAGTGCCAGTACCAGTAAGAGTCATTTAGTGCCAAGAAGTGCCAAGATCTTTGATGCCAGTACCAGTAGAGTCATTTAGTGCCAGTACCAGTAAGAGTCATTTTAGTGCCAGTACCAGTAAGAGTCATTTAGTGCCAGTACCAGTAAGAGTCATTTAATTCTTAATTACCAGTAAAAAAGTCATTTAGTG